AGAAACGCCCGACATCAGACGCATGTATCCCACGCACTGACCCACGCCCCCCGGCTCAGCGCGGCCCACCCTAAAGGTGCTCGGGGACCGCCTCAGCCCGCGCTCGGGCGACCACCGACACGAGCCTGTTCTCCGATCAAGTGCCCAGCGTCTCATGAGCTTTATCACGCGTATCTCAGTGGGTGAGCGCCAGCCACAGGCCCAGGGTCCGGGGTTCCATTCAGAGCCAAGGGCACCTACCTCAGTTGCAGGCTCGACCTCGGCCCAGGTTGGGCGCGTGTGGAAGGCAACTAATCGATGTCTTTCTCACATCGATGTTTCTCTCTCTCTGGCTCTCCCCCTCCCTTCCACTCTCTCTAAAAATTGATGGAAAAATATCCTCAGGGGAGGATTAACAACGAAAATAAATCAATAAGGCTCCATGGCCCCATAAAAACACACACCCTAATGCTAATCCTCGGGAGTCAGGGGCCACCTGTCCTTCCCACAGGCACGTCCCAGGCCGGGGAGCCGCCATGGACGCAGCCACCTGCGCCTGGTTCCTGGTGCTTCCGTGGTTTTCACGGTCACTGAGCGCCCGCCACTCGGTCCAGCCCGGGCAGGGACCCTCTGTCCTGGCCAGCAGCGCCCTGGGGAACCCACATGGCAAAGAGAAGGGCAGGGCAGCCACCACACCTGGACAGGTGGCCAGGCTGTGCCAGACGTAAGCCCGGGACGACAGGTGCACATGGAGGGCACCCTCTGAGCCACCACGGCTGGGACGCTGGGAGGGGGCAGGGAGGTCCAGCCCTGCCCACAGGACGCCCACCCCCAGGCCAGCCCTGCAGACCCTCCCTCGCCATCACCCACGCCCTGCGGCCCGGCGCTCCCTGAGCCCACTCCTGGGTGCCATGCGGAGCCCTCACGGTTCCCGCCCGTGCCAGGCTTCTTCCCCTGGGCACTTCCTGTCCATTCCTTTTACCCCAAATGCCTCAGGCCAGGACCGACTCTAGAGTCACCTGCAAGACACTGGCCCAGGGGACACTGTGGCCGGACAGAAACGCCTCCCCAAACACGAGTTCCCCACAACCAAGCTGCACCGTAACTTCTGTCCACGATGCCCGGCTCAGCTCAGGGGGACGGGGTCGCCCGGGCAGGTGACCGCGGCCCGACGCCTACCTTCCAGTGGGCTTCCGAGCGCTGCATGAAGTCCAGCCCGGCCTTGACCTCCGCCTTCATCTCGTGAATGTGGGCCACGGTGTGAACCGACCACGCGTCCGTGGGGGTCACAGACAACGCCTGGGGGGCGGGAAAGACGGGGCGGATCAGTCAGGCTGCGGCTCGAGTTCTGCACACGCGGCCTGAACTGGAGGCCGGACATCGGGCGGGGCCAGCGTGGGGACTGGGCTCAGCCTCAAACAAGAATGGCCCGAAGGCCAGACCTGCTGACCCCCTGCGGCTACTAAGGGCCGTCATACCCATTTCACAGATGGGACTGAGCGCTGGCCCGGGACCACCCAGCCGTCTTCCCACCGCCAGGGCGCGCCTGAGGGAAGGGCTGGCCGCGGGACCCTGCCTCCTAGCCCCCAGCCAGGGCCACCAGAGCAGCCTCCGCTCCAATTGTGGCTCATCTCCCCGAGTGACATTAGTGACAGTAGTGAGGTCCGAGGTGCGAGCGCCCGCATTTCCATATGCTCCTGGCCTCCCAAGCTCTGGCTCCCGCAGGGTCAGGCGGGCTCTGCAGGCAGACAGAGCGGTGCTAGGGCCGCTCTCCGTGCCACCGGAGCGAGGGGCGGCCTCCCTGGCCTCGCTCGCCTTCCTCGCCTGTGGAGGTAGTTGGTGCTTCGTGGCTCCGCGGACCGGACCGCAGGAGGCGCTGTGACCGGCGGCAGCTGCTGTCACCACGAGTCCTTCCCCCCAAATCCTCGAGGAAACGGGCGCAGAGGGGGAACCTGGCCGGGGCCACCCACCAGCGGGTCCTCGTGCCCCTGCCCCACGGACGCCAGCCCTGAGGCCGGCACCTCGGGGAGCCACCCACCTCTTTGGCGAGCTTCTCCGCCTGGTCGTAGAGGTTGGTCTCCATCAACCCGAACGAGTAGATGCCTTTCACGTAGCTGAAGACAGAGCGACAGTCCTTTTTAAGAAGGGGACCGGGACCGTTCAACCCTCAGCACGACCTGCACCAGCCGGAGTGCCCCCACACGCCCGTGTGCACACGTGTCCGAGCGCGGAGTCGGTGTGTGCGGATGTGGTCACACCAGGAGGTGGGTCCCAAACCTGATGGCTGGTGCCCTGATAGCACGCGAGAGGAGAGCGAAGTAGACACAGACACACACAGGACAGACCCGCGTGAGGACCGGGCAGGAGGGGTAGCGTAGCCGTGAGCCAGGGGCGCGAGGAAGCCCTGCCGGAGCTGGGAGAGGCTGGGGACCCTCCCCAAGAGCCTTCGACGGGCCCCCGACCCCTGGATTTCGGACCGCGGCCTCCGTAGCGGAGAGAGAATGAATCTGTGGTTTTAAGCCTCCCAGCCTGTGGCCGTGGTTCTGGCAGTGCCAGGAGCTGGTCCCCTGGCCCTGTGCCAGGCACCACGCTACGTGTGGGGTCCCAGCGAGTGGATGCCCTGGCTGGGAGGGGCGGCGTGACCTTTATCATCTGCGTGACGGCTCCCAACCCAACCCCTGTCTCCGTGCTGAACCCTCTGCAATTCACATCCCTCCTCCTAGGATGCCAAGGTCCCCACGGGGGCGACAAGGGTCTTTTCCCTCCTGCCCGCGAGGAGGGACAGCTCAGGGACAGCCCGGGGAGCCGTGGTGACCGCGGGCTGTCAGCAGCTTCTCCCCAGACCCCAGCTTCTGGAGGCGGGGGCCCCATCTGTCCAACTGGCTCTCACCCCGGGCCCCGCTGAGCACAGGCTGGGCGACGCAGCGCTGACTAAACGCACGCCTTCCTTGCCCCATCACCACCGGCACCCAGCTCCCGCGCTCTTCCTGCGCTTTTGCGGGATTCTGCGGGGGCGAGAGAGAACCACGGAGCTTCTCCCTGAGGCTCGGGTGTGGTCGTGTCTCCGTGGACAGGGGAACTCCGGCTTTACTCTCCACGGAAGCAGCGTTCTGGAGCCCTGGCTTCCGACTTCGCCTTTAAATATTCATGGGCTCTTCTTGGGGTCCTGTCACCACCAACATCTAAGCGCGCATGGGATGCTCGCGGCCGGCAGCCTCTACTGGCTCCGCGACGGTTACGCTGATGTGTCACCTCAGCGGGGCCACGGCGCGTCGTCGGGTCAGACGCGATCTAGGTGCTGCTGTGACGGTCGTGTTTGTACGCGGCTGACATGTAAATCAGCAGGTGACGCTCCACGTGTGGGTGTGGGTGGGCCTCGCCGCATCAGGCGAAGGTTTTCGAGCCGAGACTGACCTCCCAGGGGAGGAAGGAAGCGGCCTCTCCCGAGACGGCGGCCCAGCGCGCTCCCTGACTTTCCCGACTGCGCTGTCCTGCGGCCTGGGACTCGCCAGCCGCCAAGAGCTGGAGCCAACGCCGTACAATCCATGTCTCTACACGCATGCAGACACGGAGGGTGACGTTTGCATACACACGTAAGCAACATGAATATAGGTGCACACCTGGTACTGGTTCTGTCTCTCTGGAGAACCCTCACTCACACGGCTCTTCAATCCATTCATCTGTTTGACCTTCACCACGATCCTCTGGTTCAGAGGCGACGAAGCCCTGGCCGGTGTGGCCCATGGTCAGAGTGTCGGCCTGCGCACCGAAGGGCCGCAGGTTCAATTCCCAGTCAAGGGCATGGGCCTGGCTGGCAGGCTCGATCCCCAGCCCCGGTTGGGACACATGCAGGAGGCAACCAAACAATCGATGTCTCTCACCTCTTTCTCTCTTCTCTCTCTCTCTTCTTCCCTCTGTCCCTCCCACTCTCTCTAAAAATCAATGGAAAAATATGCTCGGGTGAGGATTCACAAACACAACAACAAGAAGCTGCAATGGAGGCGACCCTGTGCGGTGTCACTAGGGCTGTTCACAGGTCCGTCTACCCCTCCACCCCGACCCCTCCCCTCCGAGCACACAGCAGAGCCGCGCTTGCTGGGTTCCTGGGAGGGGTGGCCGGCTCTGGCCAATGACTCTGAGCCAGTGGTCCCCACCCTTTTTAGGCCACGCCCCACTTGAGCATCTCTAAATCCTGATGCTCCCCCCATCCTTGACCTAGAATTCTTATTCTTCAAAAAGTGACTCCTATGCACGTGGAGGAAGCCTGAAAGGCCATTCACTTGTCTAAACAAGCTTCCAAAGAGCATGGCATCCATGAGAGAGAAAAATAAAAGAACGAAAAGGCTTCCAAAGAGCATGGCGTCCATGAGAGAGAAAAATAAAAGAATGAAAGGACATTTCACTAAGGAATCACTCAGAAATTGTTAAAATAATAATAATATGAGGTGATGTGAAAAAACATCAAATAAAGTTTCAAAACGTATAATGGAGAACTGAAATGCAGAAATACGTCACAATACATATTTATAGGCTGCATAGGAGGCCCGAGAACCGTAAGAAACGCACAAAACTCACTGTTAGCAACTCATCCGCGAACTGCCCCCTTAACAATCAAACTGCCGCCCGTGGGGTGTGGGCCCCAGTGGGCCCCGCTGCTCTGAGCGCGTGGGCGCCCTCGCGAGTCCCTCAGGAGAGCTCCTTCCGCTCTTGGTGTGTCAGAGAGCAGGTGCTCCCCCACCCGGGTCCCAGAGGGCGGCCCCGCAGGGCACAGCGCCGGCCGCCTGGGACGGACGGGGCACGATGAGCAGAGACCTCGCTGTGGTCGCCCTGGAGGACCAGGTCTGCAGCAGGCTCGTGCCGCAGCCAACTCCCCTGTGCTGATGTGCGCAATGTGCCGCCTCGCTCCAGGGTGGCGAGACGGCGCGTGAGGAAACTAGAAGAGCCACCGTGGCCTCACCTGGGGGGAGGGCCAGGAGCCTGGCCCCAGCTCGGGGCAGGGGAGGGAGACTCAGCAGGAAATGATGTGGTTGCCAACGGCACGCACCTGCTCAGGGGGACGCCGGGTGTCCAGAAGGGGTAGACTCGGGCCGCAGAATCTCGCATCTGCTCCTGGTAGCCCAGGTAGAAGTAGGCGTCGTGGGAGAACTTGAGGGCCAACATGTCCGTGGGGTGGTCCCGGAGAATCTGCTCCCACAGCTCGCAGGCTTCGGGGAAGTTCCTGGGAGGAGAGAGCGGGTTCTCAGCGACAGGGACACAGCCCACCTGCCAGCTCCACAGTCTGCCCTGCGCTGGCCACACACGCACACATGCACACACGCGTGCACATGTGTGCACGCACATACACACGTGCACGCACACACACGGCAGGTCTTTCAATGACATCGTTCTGTTCAATGTCCTTTTAAAAAAATTTTTTTATTGATTTCAGAGGGAGGGAGGGAGGGAAACATCAATAATGAGAATCACTGATCGGCTGCCTCCTGCACGCCCCACACTGGGGATCGAGCCCACGACCCGGGCCTGTGCCCTGACTGGGAATCGAACCGTGATCTCGTGGTTCACAGGCCGACGCTCAGCCACGGAGCCACCTGGCAGGGCCGGTGTCCTATTAACACGGACCAGATGCTGTGGGAAGGTGGCGCTTGTCTATCGAGACGCCTGCGGTGAAACTGGCTTTGTTACGTGTCCCTTTGTTTAAAGCAGGGGTCCTCAAACTTTTTAAACAGGGGGCCAGTTCACTGTCCCTCAGACCGTTGGAGGGCCGGACTATAGTTTAAAAAAAACTATAAACAAATTCCTATGCACACTGCACATATCTTATTTTGAAGTAAAAAAACAAAACGGGAACAAATACAAAATTTGTATTTGCATGTGGCCCGCGGGCCATAGTTGAGGACCCCTGGTTTAAAGTCACAGAACTTCTACTGACATTAGTGAGGACTCAACTGTACGCATAGACGTATCTATGTCGGCTTGTGGCTCATAGAATCGATAACCCAGTGGGTGGTTGTTCTCCAGCTCCACAGTCTGCCCTGCGCTGGCCACACACGCACACATGCACACACGCGTGCACATGTGTGCACGCACATACACACGTGCACGCACACACACGGCAGGTCTTTCAATGACATCGTTCTGTTCAATGTCCTTTTAAAAAAATTTTTTTATTGATTTCAGAGGGAGGGAGGGAGGGAAACATCAATAATGAGAATCACTGATCGGCTGCCTCCTGCACGCCCCACACTGGGGATCGAGCCCACGACCCGGGCCTGTGCCCTGATTGGGAATCGAACCGTGACTATAGTTTAAAAAAAACTATAAACAAATTCCTATGCACACTGCACATATCTTATTTTGAAGTAAAAAAACAAAACGGGAACAAATACAAAATTTGTATTTGCATGTGGCCCGCGGGCCATAGTTGAGGACCCCTGGTTTAAAGTCACAGAACTTCTACTGACATTAGTGAGGACTCAACTGTACGCATAGACGTATCTATGTCGGCTTGTGGCTCATAGAATCGATAACCCAGTGGGTGGTTGTTCTCCTGAATTCAAACCAGAAGGGAGCACTGGCTTAACAAGCGGCCCCAGGCAATTTCCGTGGAGACCAGGAACCGGCGCGGGAGGCCTGGAGGCAGAAGCCCAGCCAGCGCTAAGCCCCAGCACTGACCCCCCCGGGGGCCCGGGCAGCTTCCTCTGTCGCTTCCAGAACCTGCACAGCAGCTCAGGTGGCCTCGCTCTGGGGGCGTCTCCCCGGCCTGAGCAGACCAGGGCCTGTGCCCTGATTGGGAATCGAACCGTGACCTTGTGGTTCATAGGCCGACGCTCAACCACGGAGCCACATGGCAGGGCCGGTGTCCTATTAACACGGACGAGATGCTGTGGGAAGGTGGCGCTTGTCTATCGAGACGCCTGCGGTGAAACTGGCTTTGTTACATGTCCCTTTGTTTAAAGCAGGGGTCCTCAAACTTTTTAAACAGGGGGCCAGTTCACTGTCCCTCAGACTGTTGGAGGGCTGGACTATAGTTTAAAAAAAACTATGAACAAATTCCTATGCACACTGCACATATCTTATTTTGAAGTAAAAAAACAAAACGGGAACAAATACAATATTTGTATTTGCATGTGGCCCACGGGCCGTAGTTTGAGGACCCCTGGTCTACGTGAACATCAGCAAAGACCTGATGATTTATGGAATATGCAGGAAAAAAGAAATTATTTTCAAGAAAGAATCAAGGAGCCTGGCTGGTGTGGCTCAGTGGTTGGGCATTGACCTATGAACCTGGAGGTCATGATTCCATTCTCAGTCAGGGCACATGCCCAGGTTGCTGGCTCAATCCCCAGTAGGGGGTGTGCAGGAGGTAACAGATCAATGATTCCCTCTCATCACTGATGTCCCCACTTCTCTCACTCTCCCTTCCTTTCTGAAATTAAAAAAAATATATATATATATATACATACACACACTAGAGGCCTGGTGCACAAAAATTTGTGCACTTGCGGGGGTCCCTCAGCCCGGCCTATGCCCTCTTGCAGTCTGGGACCCCTCGGGGGATGTCCACCTGCTGGCTTAGGCCCGTACCCTGGGGGATCAGACCCAAGCTGGCAGTCAGACATCCCTCTGGCAGCCCGGCAGCCCTCGGGGGATGTCCACTTACCAGCGGGGAGAAGACCTAAGCTGCAGTTGGACATCCTTAGTGCTGCTGAGGAGGCGGGAGAGGCTCCTGCCACCACCGCTGTGCTGGCAGCCATCAGCCTGGCTTGTGGCTGAGCAGAGCTCCCCCTGTGGGAGCGCACTGACCACCAGGGGGCAGCTCCTGCATTGAGCATCTGCCTCCTGGTGGTCAGTGTGTATCATAGTGACCAGTCATTCCCAGTCATTCT